TCATGATGGCTGCAAGCAAACCTCCCTTTGCACACCCCATGTTGTGTTGCGCCTGTTGCAAATTCGCGACTGAGGTTTTGCGTGCTGCATCATCATCGATCAAATATGCTACCCCGGAATCGAGGCCATGAGGCCAGCGCCGCAGTCTTTCACATTGAGGCCGTCTGAGAGATTATGGCAATAGATTGCAGGCTTCTGCAACGGCTGTATGCGGCCGTGGGATGCGAGCCGACCTCAGTGAACCGGGAGTTGTGGAAGCGACCCCATTCGTCAGGATCAGCCATTGCCAACCTCGCGTGCGTCATTCTTGTTGGCTTCAGGTGTGGCTAGCAATTGGTGTTTTCAGCTTTGTGGCAAAACACTCCGTCCTTCTCAGTTCTGGCTCCGTGGATGGGTTTCTTAGCTTGCAGAAGCCGTGTTGTGTGTGTGCGCGCGAATGTTTGAGTGTGTGTCATCCTCGCCGCATGCATTGGCCAGTGTCAGTGTTTGCATTTCGAGGTTGTACGCGCATGTGCTTGGAATTGTGGTCGGCGCACTGCTTGCTCTACTGGGTGGCATCCTTGCTCATCCGAGGTGCCTGACAGACAGGGCACCGATCTCTAGATATGTGCATGTAAGTGATGGGCAATGAGCATATCAGCGGAGGGAATTTTACAGTCTTCCAACTCTAATTGGGTTCTGGGGATCTGGCATATTGTCCGTGTCTTGTATCTACGCACCAGATGTCGAAGACGTTCCCTGCAGGTTTCGTCGAACACAGTCAGCATCCGAGCTTTTCGCTTTTCTCTTTTCTCCAAGGCTGCTCTTGCCCTGCTTTCCTGAAGCGCATGTAATCCACCATGGAATCCGCTCCATGCAAGGATTTTCTTCTTGAAATCCAGATCGAACACCGTGGGTTCTGGGCTGCACGAGCTTCTTGGTGGACGTGAATTGAAAGAGGCGCTGCGCTGCTTGTTCAGTTTCGGAGATCATAGGTCGCAAGTTAGGGTTAGGGAAGCTTTGAGATGACTGATAGGCAGCATCACACATCTGAGGCCACTGAAGCCTTTGCAAAATCTCAGCAACGTATCGCAGGTGCTTGATGATGGGCAGAGCAGCTTCCGCGGCTCGGCATACAGCATTGTTCTGCTATCATGCGTGCTTCTGAGGCAATTTTTTCGAAATCGTTCCTTGCTGGTACATGAATGTTAAAACCCTGTCCCAAGGAGCTGTTCCAGCAGACAAGGCATCATACGCAGTGAAGTTCAGTTTGGTTCCTGTGAGATGCGAGATATGCGATACGTCGTGTGAAGGGCTGGATGTGTCTTGCAGACTCCCTCCCTGCACAGGTGTTGCTTCAACACTTTCTGCTACATCCGGCCCAGCATGAGCTTGGCCACCTCTATTCCCTTTCGGACACTTTGCATTTTAAAGCATGCTTCGTGCTTGCCTTGGGGCAGGTAATGCTTTGATGCACTTAGAGGGCCATTGAAGCTAAGGAGCCCGCCCAATTTGGCTTTGTGGATGCATTCATCTCGCCGCCTGCTGAACTGGGCGTGGCGCAGGTTAAAGGGTCAGATATCAACATACCACCTTGTCAGTTCCCTCGACTCCTGGGCACCTGCCCTTTGCGAGGCTAAATCGGCCAAATAAGCTAGACTCGTAGACTGGAGACGCGTGTGGAACATTCAAGGTATTCATGGGCTGACCAAGCCGAGTCGCAGTCACTCGCTGAGACTTCAAATGAGCTTTGAAGATGCAGTTCTTTGGTGGGCGGGGTTTTAAGTGAGAGCCGTCAGGTGGTATGCAATCCAGCACTGGAGAGATGCTTTCAAGCAGGCCAGACAGCGCGGCTTGCCGATGCTGTTTATGTGGAGAGTGTAGCAGCTTGGCGACGGCACAGGCTCACAACAGGGAGCCATTGCTTTGGATCGACCGATACTGCCAGCACTCGACCGAAGCAGAGGTCGGGCGACTCAAACCGCCCTGGCGCGAATCTCATCTCTACTCTCTTGGCATGCCAGGCATCAGCGATGATGCCGGTCTTCATTGCGGGCTGCCAGAACTTCGTGAGCCTGGGCTGCCGTGTGTTCTGTCGAACCTGGTGTTCTCGCAGATTCTAGCATGCCTCGCTGACACTGCAGTGTCTCAGGAGCCTGGTGGGTTCCAGGTGCCTTGGTATGGGAAAGGGGGCCCCAAGTAGGCCTTAGACGAGGGTCGGAATCGCAGTCAGACGAAGAGCACAAAAGCGGATTCGCTCCCTACCTGCTCACACGCCTCTGCAGCGATGCCTCAAAGGTACTTATACTCACTACGAAGTTTGGTGGAGATCTTTGCTTTCGGAGAACTTGGCAGGCACATTTCACTTGCGTACAGTACAGCCTTGGGTTTTGGAAGGCCGAAACGCCCAGCTTTCCGCCAGGTCCCCGGAGGAGCTCTACGAGATGCTATTACTTCCAGATACAGAGAGTGTCTTTACAGGAACTCGAGATACCTGTGCTTTGATGGCGGGCTTGTTGGGGTAGTTTCGTTTGGAGTTGGTGCTGTGATGCCGCGGCATATCCAGCCTTCGATTCGAGGCCGAGGCCAGATGCACGAACTGATCGATTCTCTGGATGTCTGGAAAGCGTGGCTCAGAAGCAGAAGCAGCGCATGTATAGCCGGGCTGTATGCTGTAGCACTTCTAGAGAGTCAGAGAAGTGACGTAGACGTAGTGTTGGTAGCAAGTGTGGTTCAGCCTCTTCGGCCTTGGCAGATCAAGAGCGAAGGTGCTGTTTCACTTTTGCAAACTTCTGCTTAGGCATGACTCATGCTCCGCCCTGCAGTGTGCACGCGAAGCTGCGTCGGGACGGCACGGGCTTCTCGGATACTGCAGATATGTTGACATGTGCTGTTAGCAAAACCTAGTTTGTTATGTCCGGGAGGGTCGGAAAATGTCGCATACAGTATTCGAGTAGACGGCCAAACGGCACGATCGAACATTGAAATGGGGCGACATCCGCAGCGTTTGGTAGATTCAGAAGGAACCACGAGTCTGGTGTCTGGTCAAACCCCGTAGGTACGGAGTTCCGGCGGCCTTCGCCTCACTGCTTCGCACTTCATCAGGATGTCAAACGGCACGGCAGCATGAGACGGACCTGACCGAAATACACTGTGGGGTGGGGTTATGCTACGAACGCAAGGAAGCTACCGAAAAATATTTGCAGGTGTACCTCTTTACCACGCTCTGCCAAATGCTAACTTGCGAGAGCCATTAGAAGCAACGAGCGATGCGTGATGTCGGATCTCAGGTTCGAAACCAGGATAAAGCGCATCCTCTATGTCGGCTTGGATCATGCTCGAATCCACAGAGGCCCTGTTGCAGATGCATGAGGATCGCTAACCCTGCGATCCCTTCTAGGACGTGCCTTCATAGGCCTTTTTGCAGTCTGCGCAGCTGCCTCCATTGTGGAGCTTCAACCACATCTGTTCTGTAGCCAATACTTTCGCGTGAGCTTGCTGAGATTGGGAATGCAGCGCAGGTTTAGACAATCGTTTGGTGCCCACAAGTAGCTTGTCTAGCCAAGCAGCTTGCACGGTCCAGCTCGGATGTTCAGTACGTCCTCCGTGGATTCATTGAGCTGCACAGCAGCTGCGAGAAGCGAGAAGTACCAAGTTTGTCATTGTGAACGTTGTGCGCGTTTTGGCGCTGAAGCGGAGAGATCCGAGCTGTGAAGATTGGGGAGCCAAAAACACTTTTGCAAGGTTTTGCAAGTTCTAGCTAGAGCTACCCTGGCCCCGTGTCGTGATTTCTGCATTCTTGTCTCTTCTGTGGATCTTGTTTGCATTGCAATGGGGCCAAGGTGTTTGATCAATTGGCTTGGTTTTCCAGGACGTGCGGAAGAGGCAGTCTCTCAAGGAGCTGTCTTGCGCCGCGCGTTACTTTGCACGCATGCCAACGGCCAATAGCAACCAAAAATAGGTCTGGGAGGACCAGGTCAGAGCTCAGTCACCGTAGGATAGTACCGATTTGGTGGGTGTGCAGCTGTCCATCCCTAGAATAGCAAAGGAAAAACACTTCCATGGTGCAGTCACGAATATGCATAGCAAAACTGCCACGCAAGAACAGATAACATGCGATGCACGCAATTGCAGCCAACATCGGCTGGGATTGCCGTGAGATAGACTGGCATCGACAACGGTGTCGGCCGCGTGAGAGCTCAGAAGAATGACAGATCGCAGTATTTGCGAAGCATGTAATGCAACGGCATAACCACAGATTAGGTTCGTTCATCGAGCAAGAGCTACGGCAAGGCAACCTCTCGGCAATCCTGAGATATCGTGATGGCTTGCTTTCCTGCTTACAGGCATGCATGTACACATATATATATATATATATATATATATTTATATGCATGCATGCAAACGTACATTGTGCATGCGAGCTCGGAGACATAGCTGAGTTTGGGATTCCAACATGGCATGGTTGAGACAAAAAGACTGTGTGTCGTCGACGAGTGTCAGGTGGTCCGAAAAGTGCATAAGCCTCGGCAGCTACAGATGCTGAGTGTCGGCTACCTACTCTGGCCGTGGACTCCCAGGAATAGGCTCGCTTCCTGTGCGGTGTCGCCCCCCCCGGCGCCCAAAGCGGCGGGCCGCCTTGTTTCGGGTTTCTCGCCGAGAAGTCATGACCTCAACAAGCCGAAAGGTCTTCAGGATTTTATCTTGACATGCGAAACTTGTTGTGGGTTCGATCTTCTCAGCGAAGCCTGGAAGTGACTTGACACCGCCAATGCCCACCAGCACCTGACAAAGACGAGAGTGCTTCCAAGTTCAGCAGGCGTTTCGGCCACGGAGCTCTGCATGTCACTCTCGTGTCAACTGCTGTCTGACTGTATGCGAGTTCAAGCTCAAGAGCAGCAAAACAATCGACCCGCACACCTTGCCTCCAATTTGCCATTTCCAGCCAGGCACTTGGCATGAAGAAGCTTGCAACAGCTTGCGGAGTCTGCAAAGCACATCCTCCCCAGAATCCTAAGGACATGGAGGTCTTGGTCGAGGCAGCGACTCAGGTGCCTCAGGGCTGCTTCGTCAGCGTTCGTCTTGGTGACAATTTGAAGCAGCGCCTTGGCTGTAGCCATCTATGCGAACATGTAACATTCTATCACTGATATTTGTTTTCGTGCATTTTCGTGCTCTTAAGACTTAATTCTTGCTCTGTGACAAAACTCCAAGAGATCTTTGAAACAGCTAGGTATATGATGGTTCTAACTCTAATGGCGCTTAAGTGTGCACAGCCTTTGAGCCAGGCGACGCTTCGACAAGAACGCGGCCAAGTACCACTTCCCCATTCCGGAGGAGAAGAAGAAAGCGCGGATCGATGTCTACCAGCTTGTCGGCACCTGCTCGGTGCAGGTGGACCCGGAGCCTTGTCTGCGGCGTCTGACCATGGAAACACACATACAGTGTATACAGCACAGACCCTGTAGACACCAATCCAGAATTTCAAGAAAGCATCCAGCGCGCGCAGCGCACTGAATGGTGACACCTAGGAATGTGGAAGCACAGATGAGGCGGGACTGCTTCAAGTCAGACGGCATGGACGGCTTATGTCTGAATCCATGCACAGGTCAAAGTGATCTCCTCCGATCCCAGAGCAGAGGGCATGAAGCTTCGGGTTGCCCAGCAGAAATACGGCAATGTGGTCACAGTACGCACAGCCAGATTCAAGATGTCGAGCCTTGGCGGAAGCGAGGTCAGCTCAAACGGCAAGGAGATGAAGGCCGAGGACACACAGAAACAGCGACAGGAGATCGAAGCCGAGACCAAGGCCCTCCTGGGCCATCAGACAGTTATCGAGGTCATCACCACAAGCAAGAGCCCTCACAATGGACCAATCATCATCATCGTCCTGCTCATCATCATCACCATCATCATGTTCACCACTGTCACCAGCACCATGCTTGATGAAAACGATGGCCACGACAGTTGGAAGTTGGCACGAACACTTCATTCTGTCCGTTGTTGATGCCGTTTCTTTCTCGAGGCGCCCTGCTGGTTGTTGGGGGGGCAGGGGTGGACGTTTTTGCGATGATGGTGGTGGGGAGAGAATATGCAGGCAATGTGCGCATGTCAGGTGTCCTGGAGGCCGAGCTGTGCCGTAACCTGAGTTGCGTGGGTGGGTGGGTGTGTGTTTCCTGACAGCTTTCCACTTGTTGGCCCGGTGAATCGCCGCTCCCTCCTGGCTTTCCTCCCTGATCTTTTCCACCCAGACGCACATGCGGCATGCTCGAGCACATCAAAGCAGCTCTAACTCTCTCTCTCTCTCTCTCTTTGTGCTCCGCGGGTCTCGAGTCGCGTGTTACTCCATCTGCATGCCATCCGCCTGTCGCAAGCGGAAGAGGGCATTTTTGCGTCCGCGCTCTTTAATCCCTGAGGACGCTGCTGTGGGGTATCTGGCGAAGCACGGGATCGAGCAGCGCCTTTCCGAATGCCTCCGCACACTTCTGAGGAGACCGCGGAAGAAGCTCCCCCATGGCTTCTGCTCTGGGCTTTGACATGCTCCTTGTTCAGGATGAAGCCCGAAGATCCTGTGGAGTTCATGTGCAAATTCCTGCCGCTCTGGTTTGCCAATTCGGTTTTCTTCCAGACAGTCTGCCCACGTCCTTGATGTTTTCCTTGCTTGCGGCATGGTCCACGGCATGGTCGCATGCTGTTGCTTCCGATGCCGTGTCGAGTAGATTCAGAGCTCCGAGGAGAGCCGGTGTGCCTGGCGCATCTCGGCTCTTAACACTCGCTCAGCCTGTCGCATGATGCCCTTCAAGTCTCGTGCGTTCGAGCGCTTGCTTTGGGAGGAGGAGCCAAAGGCGGTTCCCGAGCAAGCTGTGGAAAAGCCAGTCGAGAAGCCCGCGGAAAAGCCAGCAGAGAAGCCTGCCGTGGCTTCTTCGAATTGACGTGATATGTCTTTTCGTGATTTGCCAGACCCTGTGTCGTCAGAAGCAAAGAGCTTGAACGCCCAGGTGAGTGTTGTGGAACCACCAGCTCCTTCACCAAAGCCAGAGCCGGCTGAGGCTCGGCAAGGGGGCCTTCGGCTTGCTGGTAACAGATGCCTAGAGTCCTGGAGCTTCCGAGCTCCTGCGAGAAAGAGCTCCGACAGGCTCGGGAGGATGCCCGCGCGGCTCTCATGAAATCCGTTCGTGGTGGCGACTTGATCGGTGCCATCGAAGAGGTGGGAGCTGACTTTTTTCCGACAGGAATTCTCAGCCTTGCAGACGGGTGTCGTCAGGATCAGGAGTCAGCAACCGCTCCCTTTACTCTCAGGCCAGCCCAGCTCCATCACTGTACTTAAGTGCTCAGCTTGGCTGTGCTTTGGCGGTTGCTAGGCCATCGGTCGGTACATGGTACATGCCTCTACCTTTGGAGACAGCCGCGCCTGCGCCATCACCAAAGGAGGGGGCTTCTGGCTTGTGGTTGCACATTCTCCCATGCCAATGCTACCCTCATGGCTGGGGTCCTGTTGAACGTGTCAGGAGAAGTCTTCGGAGCACCCTCCGCCGATGGTGTCCTTTGGCCGAAAAGCATCCATGGAAATGGTGGTGGAGGCATCTTGTCACTGAGAGCTGAATACTTGTTCCTCCTGTCTGTGAGTTAATAGAACCATGACGACTCCTTTGAACATGCCAATTTATTTGCGATGGATGGCAATTGACGCCAATTGCAGCCGGGCCAGGCATCAGCTGTTGGTGACTGGCTCTTGCCGGAAGCCGGCAACCTCACCCTCAAAGGTTTGGGAACATCAGCGGCAGAATGCTGCATCTTGACTTAGATCTGGATCAAGTCTGAAGCAGCAGCTGTGCAATCCGGAGTTCTGCTGGCAATGTTTGTCCGGCTGTTTTGGGATGTGCTTCGGCCTACAGCTCTGGGCTTCTCGCCAATGCAGTAGCAGCTTGTGCTTGACCTGACCGCTGAGGTGAAGTTGAGCGCATCTTGACAAATGCCCTCATGGAGCTTGGTGGAGAGCTGCAGGGCGTGCTTCGGCTGAAGCAAAACCGTGACGTGACAGCGGCACACATGTTAGAAATCTGTCCTGCCAGGAGTACATTCCCTTGTCACCCACCTTTGCATCGCAGCCAGGCCGACTTGCTAAAGTTGGCCAGATCCTGGGGTCATGCTTTGCTGTCACATGACTGGACCACTGGAGGAGGCATCAACGATTCGATGAAGGCATCGCTCCAATCTAAACACCTGCTCTTCGACGCAGCAGACTTCGCTGGGAGCACCTTGGAGCCATAAAGGCTAGTCCACAAAGACGGAGCTGTGCTGTCGCAGTCCGCAGGAACTCGGCCTTACTGACTCAGGAGGGGTTTATGTCACGGATGCGGAGGATGTCGCATTGTGGCTGAATGCGAGCAAGCATTTGCAAATTTTGGTGAACAAGTCTGCCAAGAAGCAGATGATTCACAAAATCGACACTGTGGTGTCTGCTTTGCAGGGACCTCTGTGCCAAGACGGCTATGTGCTAAGTGCATAGACATTGACGCTCGTTTTTTCCTGGAGCGGCCTCGGTGATGGAGCGGGGGAACTCGAATCTTCTTTGTTACATACTCTGCACTTCTCCCCACCTGGAAAACGGCCAAGGCTGCTAAGAAATGATGTCTCACTGTCAGGGAGGCTCGTACAGAGACACGACTGATGGCGGTGAACAGCACAGAGCCATTCTCAAGACGTGCTGGAACTGCTGAGGCACTAACAAAGGCTGCCTCTGTCAGGAACCCGTTGCCAAGCAATGGCTTCGTGATAGGCTGCCTTTTTGGCAAAACATTCTTTATAATGATCTTCTTGTCACCTATGGTTCATCTATCGTGAGAGCTTCCGATGGATGTTTTGCCAGCCTTTGCCCGCGAGTGGCCCATGCTGGACGGTCGGCTTTGACCACCTGCGTGATTTTGAACGGCTCAGGCACTGCTTGAGGCGCAGGAAGAGGCACTCGTTTTGGGCCCGCTTTTCTTCGGTGAGCCTGCCAACAGTATCCAATCTCAAAGCATCGGAAATTTGAGATGTCTCTGTAGTTTAGGGCACAGAGTGTATTGAGCCGGCTCATGTCCGCTGTCTACTGTTCATGAGCATCTTTGGCAACGTGTTACTTAGCGACGGTGCAGCTTCGCATCTACGCTGACCCGATCTTCAGCCTGCAGCTCGCTCTGGCGGATGCTTTTCACTGCACCACAACGGCCACAGGCAACGGCGTCAAAGACTGCCGGTGCCCAATTACTCACAGAGATTTCCGCAAACAGCTGGGTGAAAAAGACAGAGTATGGCCGATTTCTCGATCATTCATTCGCGCGATGCTTGCATGAATGCTGACCTTGACCTGAAAACAGGCCGTCCATGCTACAGCCTACCTGATAGAGTGAGGTTCGTACTCCGTTGTAAGTGGCACCGTTGATATAGTGAATGTCCGGAAACCAGTGGCACCTGTGACGGGATTGTTCTGCCGAGCTGCTGCTCTAGTGGCTCCACCTCAGCTAGAAAATGCGATGCGGCGAAATCTGACTTTGTGAAAGCTTTGGAGCCTTGCCGTTTCTGCATCTCATCGATGGCACTGAACCAGGGCCGAACTTGTTCACATGAGAAGCAAAAGGCTCTATCGAGCCGAAACACATCACAACACATCTATGTCTCCAACCATTGCCAAGCTGCTATGGAGGCGACTTGAAGAGAGCTCCTAGGCAGCAGTGCCCTTGGTCTTTGCGTGAAGGAGCAGCTCACCAAAGCCACCACGGTGGAGTGGGCAGCCACTGGCCTGATGGCAGCGCAGGCGCTGCGAGTTCTTGCATGGATTTCGAGATAGCATCGGACGCCCTGTCCAAAGGCCACCATGCATTGGGGTCGTGCAAACTGTACCGCGCAAAGTTCGCGAGCTGCTCAGCACGAATTGCTCAGCGGCGCTACGACTGGACTGGCTGCTCTTCTCTACCTGGTCGCTCGGCTCAGAATTTGAAAAAACTCACTGACCCGTCCCCACCACCGCACTCCCCGACTCCCAGCAGCTCGAGCATGACATGCCATGGCCTAGGCCATGGCGTGCGGCATCTCGGAGGCCTACGAGGCTTTCGAGGCCGACGGCAGCACGCAGCATGCGCCCCGGGGGGCCACGGGGGACCGTCGGGCTGCGATTTCCAGTCAGTGATCTTTAAGGCGGCTCTTCTTCCACATTGCCTATCTCGGTCGGGCGTTCGTGCCATGCCTGTTGCCTCTTGGCGGGATCATGGCAATGGACGGCATTGGTACATTGCGGATCCTCAGCCCGGAGGCTCCTGAACATAAGCACGCTGGCTCGGGAGCGCAGATCCTCAGCGGCCGCATTGATGGCTGCCTGGGTGACGCAGGTAGCCTGCAAATATCTGCCGTTCAGGACTTGCTTTCTCGGCTTTCCAATGGTAGCTAGATCCGCACGATCGGTTCTTGCCCGTAAAGACAGAATGGCGAAATGCCCCGACTCAGAGTGATAGCCATCATCCCGATGGTGCTGAAGCGTTGCCAAACCCATGTTAGGTGATGGAGGGTCGTGCCGAAGCGGCTCACTCCTGTCTAGCTTCATCGAAGAGTTGTGCTAGAGCCAAGATTGGCACTGCATCCGCATCCCAGCCCCGTTGACTTTGCAAACAGAGCTTATAAGCGTTGCTGCACGTGTCAGATGAATTCGCAGGTCCTGGCGCTGTACCTGGGCCAACTGGCAAAGGCAGGCTTTTGACGACATGGCTCCGGATTTGCAAACCCCACTATTCACACTGCCAGGCACAGCAGAGGCCGTCATGCTTCAGGGGCTTTGTAAAGCATTTCCTGCATCCTTGCCCTGCCTGAGATGGATCTTTCTCCTAGCAGCAGTGGTGGCGTCCATGCCTCAGGGGTCCTGAATCGGAAGTTCGGCCTGCCCTTTCTTTTCTTTCAAAGATTGTAGGCTCGTGCCCATGGCCATCACGATGTGTGCGGCCATGGGGGGCCGGCTCCACGAGTCCTCGCTGATGACAGACGCTCGCCAGCAGAGCTTAAATAATTGGAGCCGGGTGCCGGGTAGACCGGGTAGAGTCTGTGAAGATGAGGCTTACCGCTTCCTGGTGACATGGGTGTGTGTATGCGGCGCCGGCTTCTGCTGGTTATTCCTCTTCTGCCAAGCCCGGGTCTCAGTCAAGGAGCAAGGAGCGTGGCCGTGCGTGGTCGTGTCGTACTGCTGCATTCTCACTGGTCTTGACTGCGCTGCTTCAGGTCTTTCGTTTCTTGGAGGTGCACACAGAGGTGGCTGCCCTTGCGAACCAGCAAAGCTCCGTGTGTTTGGCACATTCCCCCTGGAGGTGGTGCTGGGTGCCCTCCTCGACTACTGCCTGCTTGGGGTTGGATCACCCAGAAGATGTGCCACTCGCACTCGCATAAGTAGCAGCAGATTGCGATGTTGGCGTGAGGTCTCCAGCCTAGTCATCAGCTGTGCGGGGCCTGACGTGCAAGCTCCGCTGCTTCCCGGTCAGGAGGAGGAACAGAAAAGAGCAGCCTCTCTCTGCGTTCTGCATGTGACTGGACGCATTCTTGGAGAGTTTGTGTGTGTCAGGAGCTCTCACTCTATCCGGGTCCACACACTCATGGCTTCTTCCCGAACTTGGACTCCTGCACCGTGACATGAGATCACATGTCTTGCATGCTGTCGGCAGCGCTTCTAGCCTGCTTTCACAGGACTTTTACGACGACAACCTCTAGGGCGCCAGCTGGGCCAGGCTGCCGATTGCGCATTCCCAGCAGGTACGACGTGGTACGACCGAGATTGCAAGTCTCTGGCATCCCACTGGCTACTAGCTGCACTGGCTCATCCCAGTTTTTCGCCGGCGCGGTTTGGTCTTCACGGCGATGCCCCAGCAGCCAATCTTTAGCAAATTTCGAGCAGCAACGGAAGAACTTCGCCCAGAAGTTGGTTGGCCGCCTGCCGATGGCTTGCTATCTGATAGAGGCTTGCGCGGTTGTACTCGTAGCTTACCATGTACCCGGCAACAAAAAACGGGATTGGGTGATGCTCGCTTTGCAGGGCGGGTATTTCTTATTTGCGGAGGGTGATGGGCACAGACAGGAAATCTCTCATGTGCATCTGCAGCCATTCCATCTTCAAAGCTTCGCCAAAGTGTGAGTGCAACCAGCGTCTACGCGATGCGGACCAAAGGCCTGCAAAGAGTTGTGGATGTTGCTGTTTGGCAGCCCTCAACGGCGCACTTCGGATTTTGTCATGGCTTCTGACAGGCTTCCGATCTGCAGTTGCGACGTCACGGGCTCATCGCCGTGAGACACGGGCAGACAGCCCCAATTTGACTTTAGCTGTTCGCCGACATGCATCCTATCGGCTCTGTGTGAGCGCGGAGGCGGCTCTGTTGCATGGTGGCCACGCGCTGAGCAGTGCCGGCATTACAGTCCGGTTCGTGGCCATTCTGCAGATGTTGCGTCGTCAGGGTGATTTAGTGTCTATAGCACGTAGGAAAGCTTGGCTGGCACAGTTCTTCAATAGGAACTGCCTGGTTGCAGAGGGACGCTTTGTGGAAATTATGTCTAATTCCTAATCCAAATCGCCCCGTTTGTCGGCAAGACGTGTGGGGCTCTGAAAATCGCATCTTTGGCTCCCATGCCACAAGGATTCAAGACTGTTTTGTCTCCATCCTTGCGGCGATGCCTATGGTCGTTGTGTGGACACAGATTGCCAGCGCGGCAAGTCGCGTGTGTGAGCCAAGCAAGACCGGTGCTGGAGCAGCTGCAGTCTGTGCTGTAGGAAACCACGTACATGCTTTCACATGAGCAAAGATCAGTTGATGAGTTGAAGGCTCAGTTAAAAGAGCTAAAGACGAAACAGCACAGAGAGCAGCGGACAATGCAAGATGAGCTTGACATCCAGTACATCGAAATGGAACGCCTTCGTGCGCAGCTGGAGAAGGCCGCAACACTGCGGCACCAAAAGAACGCGGCACCCGAAGGAGAACTAGAGGATAACAGTGAGGGCATCGGAGAATGTGAAGTTCGATGTGTGCAAGGCACACGAGAGTGAGAAAGAATTGTTAGCAGCTTTCCTCGAGCATGCCCGCATCCAGGTGAGTGCCCGGGAGACTTCGGCAAGAGGTGAAGGAAACGTCTTGCAGGAGCTACGCGCAGAGCTGGAGGCGGCTCAGCGCAAAGCCTCCGAGGAGCAGAGTGCAGCAGGAGAGCTCCGAGAGAAGCTACAGAACGAAGAGAATGCACGCCGTGAGTTGGAAGATTTCCACGCAGTGCAAACGTCCTCCTACATCAGAAATGTTTACCACAATAGGGCTTTTCGAGCCGAGGTGACCGAATTCTTGCAAAAGCTGGGACAACGATATCCCGAAAGGAGCTGTTAACCGCAACTGCAGAGCCAGTTTCTCCGTATGGAGCTGGAGGAGGCTGATGCTGTTAGGCCGAGTAAGTAAGCGAAAGTTTCACTTTCACAAGGCCTTTGGTGAAACTGCAGAGTTTCTGCAGCTGCTGGGCCAATGACATCCGGCGTTGCATGACTTGGCTGAGATACTATATGTGTAGACTCAGTGTAGACATGCACAGATTCATTTGCCTCTCAACCGAGTATCTCCAAGAGATCGCGACCAGCATCAATTGTTGCGCATCACCGGTTGTGTTGCGGACGAGAAAGGCCGTTCTCCCGCACGTTGAATTGTACAGCATAACATACATAATTATCACAGTTAAGAGTTTCCTTCAAACCATAGTAGCCCAGACCCCGCTCTGAAGGCCGTTTGCAGCTGCTTGGCGTCCTGGCACCAGAATTTCCTTACTGTTCCTGGCAAGGACCAACTGTAAACTGTAAACCACTGTAAACGTGTGCGGGCACGGAGGGCAGACGGGCTGAGCCAGGCCTTGCCTCAAAGTGGGAAGGGGGAAGAGACGTACTGGTAACTTATAGTAATTTACTGGTATGGGGTGCGGGACCTGTAGTAATGGTGTTGTCACTGGAATTGCATGGCCCGGGAGTGAGGCAAGCAAGGGGATGCTGCTAGTGTCTGTTTGCAGGACATTCAGCGACGCGCTGTAGCGGCCGCCTTGGCATCGCAGGCGGCTAAAATTCAGCGGCTAGAGGGGACGAAAAGCCACCATGCACTTCTTACCGCTTCTTGTCATTTTAGTTCCCCTTTGCATTCTTGAAGGTGCTGGTTCAGTCAGCACCTGCAATCGCTGGTGACCGCGATCGCACGCTCCTTCGACACCATTAAACAGAGTATGGTAGTTATTCAAAAGCTGAGAAGCAGGGGCCTGCCGACCTCTCACGGCCAGGTCCATGTTGATTGCAGTCAGGACGGGCAGCCGACGCGCTTTCCCAGTGTCTGTGTCTTCCCTGACTCTACGCAGTCGCAGTCTTTGAAGGAGAAAGTGGCTCCCACGAATCTTGCAGAACTACAAGAAGTTGCAGGCCAATACCTGATCCCCTGCTATCCCCTTGAAGCCCTGTGAATTCATGTAAGTTGCCCCGCTTCAATACAGATCAAGGCATCCTCAGAGCATGTTGCACAGCGTGACTATATAGTTTTCAATTGCGATTAACCCTTCTAAGCCAGTGTTTTGGATTTCTGTTTTGCAGTGCCTTTCGAGGGATAGCGTTGGAATATTCTGGTTCGACTTGCGCGGGTGACTGCAACGTTCAAGCTTGGACGTCTCCATCCAGGCAGACGGCACGGTGACAGACGAGTTTATTTCAGGGAAGGATTTCAAGAAGCCTGAAGCTTGGAGTGCCGTGCAGCTCGCATACCTCGCATGGCAACACCAAGTTCCTCTTGATCCCGAGGTTCATCGTTGCCCTGGATTCCTATGGCAGCATTCAGCGCTTGGATGAGGTAAGACCAGTCAGCACTCTCCTGCTCTCGCCTGGGGCGCCTGCCCTGCTGTCTTGCAAGTGGTTGCAAGGATGACATGCTGTGGCCAGGCACCCGACAAGTACTCACGAAAGCTCCAGGCGGACGCCAAGTTCGGCTCTGAGTCGTGTGGCTGTGCATGACGGGGAGTTTTCGTTGGCATCCCAATCAGGGAGGTGGAGAAGCTCCTGAAGGGCAAGGAGTACCAAAAGTCTCTGGAGATGTTGGAAGTCTTTCGCCAAGGCTAGGGACGGCTTAGCGCTGCCATTGGGCCATGCCTCGACGTCTCTGGTTCTCTGGACTGCGCCCTGTCAGACATTCCTGCTGGCCCGGGCAGCTTCGTGTGGACCGACGAGGGCTAGAGCTCCTGAGCTCCAGAGCTCCAAAGACCCTCCAAGGTAGAGATAGATATGTAGGCCTGTGTAGGCGTCTAGACCTCACAGGCCTCATAGACGAAGGCGAGCAGACAGTTGATACCACTTGCGGGTGGCTGTCTTGCAACTTTAAGCACAGCTGGGAGGGCCCTGCATCGAGAATACTTTTGACTCTACGCAGATCCATGTCGTGCTAAGCCCGAGATAGCCCGAGCCCCTCATCTGGCACCGGCGATATCAGTTCATCGGCATGCTTGCTTGGCTAGACCAGGGAGGTTGGGGAGAAGTGTCCTCGATTTTAAGAGAGGCGACATCCCCACGTCCGAAGCCTCAACGCTTGGATCCGAAAAGCTGGGACTATCAGTTTGGAGTTCGACCTGAGATTGCTGGAGTCTGCACAGATGGACCTCCGTGCCCGGATCAACGCGCACAGCCGTTTCCATCCACAAGATCGAAGCAGCTCGCAGCAGGACAACCCCAGTCTTCACCATGACCTCAAGATGTTGAAGCTGCTCAGCCACAAGATACTGTAGTCATCGGTGCGCCTCTGACTTGTGTGCATGCGGCGGATCACCTCCCAAGTAGCCTTGCTGCTGTCGGCACTCACTTTGCGCAGCTCGGTTTGCAAGATGTTGCAAGACACCGGCCAGGAGGTCATGAGGTGGTGCAGTCGACAGATTCCGATACCTGTACTGGATAATTAGCCTTTGTCGTGCGATGTGAGTTGCTGCAATCGTGGGTTTCGTCTGTCGCAGCGTCGCACAGCGCTTTTGATGCGAGTCGGCTGCATGCGCCCATTTGGGCGGCCCTTCAGCGGCATCTGGCTTCGGGCCAGCTCGTTGCCTGCGACTGGGCGCAGGCCATGCGGGATCCGGGATGACATGTGATGAGCGCATATGAGCGCCATTTAGCGCGATTGAGCACCGTTGTGCCCGAGGCCAAGCAGAGTGATCAGGTCGCAGCCTAAGTCTCTGGTGTGTCTCGCATCTTGTGCAACTCCCGACCGGCAAGGATGGCTTCCACTGGCCCTGCCGCAAGGATGTCCGACGAAGAAAAGTTTTTCTTTGACTTGAACGGGTTCCTGCACGTTCGCGGAGCCCTTTCGAAAGACTTGATCGACCGCATGAATGAAGCAATCACTGCTCACTCCAACGAGATCAAGGAGTGCACGGGGCTGTGTGTTACTTTAGATGAGAAGTGGCACCAGTGCCCAGCAGGAGCGCGAGGACGGTGACCTTCGGAATACCAGAAACTTGACTGTGATTCTCAGATCCCGTTGCCCTTCTCTTCCGTTACGAGCTCGCAGCTGTTCTGCAGCTCTTCAAGCCGAATGGCGGAAATTCCCAGGATCCGGCAGCGCTCTATCCGGCGATGGACACACGGGGCGGCGCGACCTTGGTGGGATGCTGGGTGGATGGCTCGGTGCCCCAAAACACGTTGCATTTCCTGTGCTATCCCTCTTCACCCCCAGGCTGGCCAAAGCCTCACTGTCAGCCCTTCCGGGAAGTCCTTGCCCACCCGCCTGAAGCTTATACGAAAGGGGGCGAGAAGTTGAGCAATCTGTAATCTTGCAGTTTCAAGCTTCAGGAAGCTGCTGCCTTACTTGGTGGAGCTTTGCGGGGCTGGCTACCGCATGGACCACCTGCCTCTAGTTATAACCTCCCACAAGGGAAGTGAAGGATTCCACTTACATGGTGGGCCACTGACGCAGGCCTGGCCCAGCAGACGCTTCTCTCTGTCAAGGCGGTTCTGTTTCTGGAGCCTTGGCAGGACGGCGCGTTCAACCCCACTCTCCAGTATCGATGCGTGAATGGCATCTCGCCTGAAATGATTCGACCCTCCATCTCAAGGAAGGTGGATTCCCGCGAAGCCCGTCCCCGAGGTCAGTTCTACAACTCTCTCCTCGGCATGTCGCGGCCTCAGAAAAGATGCATTATGGCACTGCGAAGGCATCGTCGGCCGGAGGAGAGAGTCTGCAAACTGGAAGTCGTGGAACTGCCAAGTTTCAGCGAGTCGCCCCTTTTTCGTCTGTCTACCATCGTAAACCCAACACCCTAATGCAACAGTTTCAAGAGTCTTGCGCGAACTGTTCAACTGGCGCCCTTAGGTCCGTCCAGCTTGTGGACCATGGTCCAGGTGATGGTGGCTTTTGTGTCATCCGTGGGTGTGCGCCTCGGCGTGGGTGCGATCTAGCAGGTGCAGTTTGCAGACTGCATCAGGTCTCACAAGAGCAACTTCCCAGTACCAGACGATTTCCTGCATGGCGGCGGTGAAGAAGCCAAGGCTCAGAGTGCAGTGCTTTGCCGGTAAGGGCTAGCCGGCTAGCCGCTGCGGCAACTGGTAGCTCGCATGAGATATCGTGCAGGTACTCAGAATGCCTAGAAAGAAAGGCCAAATTCCGAAAACATCACGTCTTTGACATCTCGTTCAGGCGCACTTCTACCAGCCAGAGACACGCCACGGCCTCGGGGAAAAGACTGCTCCCTGCGCCAGAGCGCGAGTAGTATCATTTCTCCTCGCGTCTCGATGCCGTAGTACAGCAGGGACGCCGAACAGTCATCCAACCAGCAACAAGATCTAGAGTCTAGAGTCACTAGAGTGCGACCATGAGAAGGCACTCGTAGGGCGGCGTCACCGTCACGTTTGCCAACGCAATATCAGTATCCAGCTGCGCCTGCGCTTCTTCGACTGTGTTGAAGCTTCCTTGGCTTCCTGCGCTGAGAGGTGCGGGTGATGTCGTCTTCTTCTCAGAAGCAACTGTACACGGCGCAATGGCCTGGACTGCAGAGCATGAAAGGCCACTCAAAACATCAAGCTGCATGTCTTCCCAGCATGGCATGGTAGTAGCGATGGTGAGTGCTGTGTAATCGGACTGTGATACGCTACCAAGTGGCTGGCTTCTGCAGGCGCATTGCGTTGTACCGCTTTGCCCCGGCCACCGTAGCCTATGGCCGCAGTTATGCACCTTTCCAGCAACCTTGAGACTTGAAGAGATTTCGGTGCAAGCCATGAGAGATCGCTGTCGCAAAGGCGCCACAGTGGCCGCAGGACTGCTCTTGACTCTTAGTGACGCTGGACGGCCGTGCCACGTTGTGTCAGCTTGCGGAGGAGATGCTGGAAGATTTGACACCCGCCCAGCGGGCAGTACTGGAGCCGCCATATGCAGGCAGATTCTGCAAGTGAACTCGGTTGTTGCGCTCCTGTCGAGTCAAAGACAGCCGCTGCGTTCTCGCCGCAAGCCGTCCATTCCCCGAATCAGCATTTGCCAGCCGGCCTCACGAATGTGAACATTTAGACGGATACTGTAGCCAGCAACATTCCATGAGAAAAGTAATCAGATCTTCTTGAACGCGCAGGCTTGCCTTCAATTTTCAATACTTTAACTTCGATCTCATCCCGCCTTCATCTTGTGTGGCGCCATGAGCTAATCGACATGGAGGAGCGGCCGAGGAAGAACAAGTGCCCGACAACTCCAGGAGCTGACTGGCTGGGAGCGCCCGAGTCATGGCTTCTAACTTGAGGTGAAATCCGAATCATTTGGAGAGCCGTCATGCCAGCCATCATCATTAATCATTAGCCGGGTCGTCCTTAGCCGGTGCATTTGAAAGCGCGAAAAGCCGACCGACGTAAGGAAAGACCTGCGAGCCCAGCGAAAGCAGGGGGGCGTTCTGACCCGGGCCCGGAAGCGCTCTTAGCCGAGCGCTTGGCCTCTGCTGCTCGGCAAAGCCAACTGAGTAACTGGCATCGCCTGGCCGGGACTCGCAGGTCTGCGTCAAGAATCCAGGATTTAAGTCGAAGGCAGAAGAGAAAGTTCAGAAAGCCTTATTCATGCTTTTTCAGCACATCAGCATTGCACATCGAGGTTTGGATCCGACTCCAAGACAAGCTTGAAGCTCAATGTAGCGAGCTTTGCACGTCTGCAAAGCGGCGAGACGACGATCTTGTCCAGCGAGACTTGGCTCGAGTGCAAAGAGGCAGGTTCAGAGTGTTGCTTTGGCATGTCGGGTCGAACTGTGCTGTCACAGCCGAATCGCCCGCTGTGTTGCCCGGGCGTCTTGCCTCACTGCCTGCTTTGACGTAATTATTTGTTACTCTTGGTCACAGGCGTGTCAAGAGCATCCTGGTGCCCAGGATTGGATGAGCGTCTGAACAAACAGACCTCCATCTGGCAAGAATCTGTGAGAAGCCTGGAAAGCGCCGTCGAAGCTCAACGGGCTCAGTGGCAGTCCATGCTGAACGAGGTGAGGCAGCATCCAGCTCCTTGGCCAAGGTCATGAAAGTGCCTAGACTTTGGACCGAATCCTTTGCCCGAAGTGTGCCGCATGCACACTTGGGGTAGTCCGAACACAATACGGCACTGGTATAGCTTAAGTAGACTTGCAGAGCTACATGCCAATTCATACTGCTTCAATTGGGAGTCTGGGAGCATCGCCCAGAAGATGCTGAGACAGAGTCTCCGACGTAGCTGCTTTGTTCGTTCTGTCCCAGGCCTCGAGCACCCGAATCCATGATTGAAATTCAGCCACAGGTTGCTCAGCTGGAGCCCTCAGCTGCTGCATCGGAGCAAATGATCCACGGCGAAATAAGGCAGCAGCACTTGTCCAAGTTCTGGTGTAAGCAGACTACGTGGACTGCGCAGAAAAGAGTTGTCTGCTTGGCTGCTGTAGGTGCTGCTTATGACATCATGCAGCCGGGGCAGTTGTGCATGCATGAAGGGTGCACAGGGCAAACGGACATGCTCGTACAGATTCACGAGAAAATCGAATCAGTGGGCAGCACTCGCTCGTCTGAGTCAAAAAACATGGCTGTCAAAAGACAGCTTCTCGTAAGTTCCCTTGCTGCGATGCGATTGCATCGCAGAGTCAGCAACTCCAACTGAGGTATGGCGCATGCAACTCTGCACCGGCCAGACCTTCTGTAAAGATTGCGGAGGGTGTCACGGAGCAATCTGAGCATGTTCTTAACGGCCTCTAGGCTGCGAGATGTCCGGCTTGCTACCTCTCCGGAAGCAACAGTTTTCTTTTTTCTCGAATCGACAAGACAAAAACTGTATAGAATTGTGCTTGAAGTCGCCACACTTCTTTGTACTGTAGTTTATACTGCTTTACTGGCCTTACGAGGCTCCCCCGCGAACAAGCTAGTGGCCAGGGCGACTTGGCATGAGGCGTGGCGGTTCATCGCACGGGACGTGTGTAAATTTCGACCACATCTGCCATAGCATCACATTGCAAGTCGAAATCTGTCCATCCCGGGCACAGGCACCGCCACCTGTGGCAGAGCAGCCGGCACCCCTTCCTGGGAGCGTGGCCGAGGTGGGGTTTGGATTCTGACCAGTAGAAGCAAGACACCGTGGAATTAGATGCCTCGGTCTTCACCACTGCACTTTAGCCTAGCTCTGTGAAACTGATCCAGCTTGGAGGTGAACGGCACCGTCAGCGATGGCCACAGATCGCCCAAGAAACGGAACAACTCCACAGTAAGCTTTCAGAGCCAGAAATCGGAGGGAGATGCCGATTTCGAAAGCAAAGAAGACCGGAAGGCCTATGAACACGCAGTGGCCAAAGCAGAGCGTTTGATCGTGCTCCGGTCCTCCGGCCACAGTCGCATCCAGCCACGGGAGAAGGACTGGCGTGAACAGCTCCAGATTGCCTTGGAAAGCTGGTGGGGAGAGGGCCCGGCACCCTGCGTTGTTGTTCTGCTTGCTGCATTCGAAGAGTTCTGCTGCTGTTCTGTCTTGAAGGTGTATACGGGTGTTTTTAAGGCCTCTGCGCCCTGGTCATCTTCACGAATTGCATCGTCATTGGCGTGGAAACCGATGTTGTCGCACAATCATCGGCGGACCAGTCTCCCGAAGTCTTCTCAGTGCGAAGCTCAGAATCTCACCGTTTTGCATGCGCACAGCTGTTCTCTGGCAGTGGTGATTCGGGTCGAAGGATCCTGGAGTATTCTAGACAGGCCCGCTTGCAGACGATTGGCCCAGGTCTTGGACACCTTGTACACGCTGGTCTTCTTTGCAGAGTTGCTAGTCCGCCTATCAGCGTACGGAGGCACGGCCACATCGAGCATCTTATGTCGAGTGCCGGTGCTGCCTTGGCGGTGTTGATCCACGGCAGGCGATTTTTTCTGGGGCCCCAAAGGTCTGTTCTGGAACTATCTGGATGCCTGGTCTGGCTGAGCTCTCTCCCTCCTACTGCTTTGGCTCCCCCTGTATGTCTGATGTGCAGATGGTAGCACGGTGCTCGTCGGATCTCGAGCGGCTAAGGACGTGATCATCGAATCTTGTCTGACCTTCAGTGAGGCACTTCGAAGTCGGGACGAGTCGGCACTTCGCGGAAGGCTTGAGAAGACTCCTACTCCTACAGATTCCACCGGGTCTGCCGAGGTATGCCCCTCCATGGTACAGCTGGCTATCAGAGTCATTTGGCAGTCTGGTGCCGACAACGGTGGTGCCAGCCTGGCTGTGGCTCAACTGCAGCTCACCGATCAGAAAACTCTTGAAGTACCTTGGCCGACTTGGCCTCCTCGAACTGGCAAGGTTGTGCGCGTGCTGCGCATTACACGTGTGGCTCGGCTCGTTCAACAGGGCATGGTCGACGACTTGCTGAGTTCGCATCAAGCTAGACGGATTCAGCTAGAACCTGGTTTTCGTCTGGACTGACTTATTGAATTCAGCCTTCTCCACGAGTCTGTCTGTTGATTGACATGAGCTATCATGAGCTTGAAGCTTTCATCGTGCTTTTGGATTCGAAGGTCTTCAGAGTCATCAGAGTGGTGAAGGCCGTGAGCACTGCAGAACCATGGGAGTCTCGTGCTTTTGGCACGCGGCTTTACAGTCGTCTTTGGGTCTGTTGCTGGGAGCCTTCGCATGGACCAGCGGCAACTGCCTCATGCTGTACGTTTCAAATGACTGCCACGCGTGCATTCTGCTGATAGCAAAACATAGCAAAACAGAATGGCGGCACAGCTAAATGGCAGGTGATGAAATTTGTGCGATCTTTGCGACAGCTTGTCGAATCCATTATGCACACGATGAAGCTGCTGTGATGCAATTTCGCCACTAAATGGAACATGCATCTTGCGGCGCAGCGTCTGGAGTAGCTGAGGTCTCTTGCGTGGTCCATGCTGCTGCTTGCATCTCGGCCGGTCGGTCATGTTCACACAGCTTTCAGAAGCGATGGAGGCTCGGGCACGAGCCCCCTGAAGTTAAAGGGAGACGAAGTTACCAACCAAGGCCAAAAAGCCAACAGGTCAACAGGCAAAGAGGAAGGGAAAGCAGAGAAGGTACCGCGTGTAGGTAGTGTCGTTTGCCACAGATGCCAAGCGATGGGACACAGCCCTGCCTTAGCCGAGGTGGCCATCATCTACGTCTTTGCGATCATGTTCACTGCCGCCCAGCAGAATTCTGCCCCTTGCAGCTTGCGGCATATTTGCGGCGAGCAAACCGATTCCTTGTAGCGGCCTGCGAGGACGCCAGCGTTGCCCACATGGTGGACAATCCGACGAGTGTTCTGAACCCCGAGTTGAGTCAAAGCTGGGGCACGCTCCACGCTTCCATGCATACCCTTTTCCGAGCCGTCTCGGGTGGCTTCGACTGGGGTGGCACGGCTGCTGCACTTGGAGACGTACACTGGGCCTGGATGTATCTGTCCCAGCCTAAGGGCGGCTGCCGGTGTGTTGAACTGACTGTCCAGGGGTGAGTAGTTTGCTACCCCATGCTTACGAAGTCATACTCCGGAGCAGTCAATGATTTTTCAACAAGTTGCAGAAGAAAAGTCTTCAATTTTCCAAGTGGAACATGTCGACGGATAGGTGGGGTCCCACCGTAGTGACCTGGACCTCGGTCAATAAACGCTCGAAGGAGATTCCCATTCCGGCAGCATCCGGCAACCTTGCCAGCGCAACGTGACCGAGGGTCGTTAACCCTCAGCGTCCCGTGCAACCGCGCGTGCAAGAACCCTTCGCGGATGCCACGGTGCTGTTTTGAATCCCAGGGCCCATGCGCATGTGCGGCGCGTTGGACGCCGTCAGCGCCGGCCCAAATCGTGGGTTTCGGACTCCAAAACAGCAGAATGCAACACAAACTAAGAGCTCACAAGAAAGCCATTTAGTTAAGTTTGCTGAGCTTCGATGCTTCGAACTGGAAGCGGAAAGTGCACGGAATTGCGT